CACCCCGAAGCAAATTTTCCCATAAGGTTCAATGTAATTACCGTTAATCCGTTCTGGCGTCAGCGGACCACGCATCGGGTGGGAAAACGGCCGGGCGCGGCACAGCGGGAAAACGGCCGGGCGCCACGCGGTGGGAAAACAGCCGGGCGCGGCGGGGCAGGAAAATGGCCACGGACCACGTGTCGGGCGGGAAAATGGCCGCGGACCACGTGTCAGGGGCGAAAAAATGGCCGTGGACCATGTGTCGGCAGAAAAATGACCGTACCCCGAGGCGGAGTTCGCACATTAAGATAAATTTTTGCGGCCGGAGCTGGTCGTAACCCGAAAAGTTCGTTAGTAGAGGCGTTTGTATCCCGAGGTACCACTGTATTTGTTGCTGCATATTATTATATATGTTTAATAATTAGCTTTCTTCCTAGTACAAGAATTTCATAAATATCATCCACCACAAAAACAAATTGTGATTTCTTCATTAAACAGAGAGAAACTATGTTTACCTTCATTTCTCTGGGAATTCTTTCTATACACTTGACTACATGCAAAATTAAGAATTTACACAGTCTCATAGGATGTAAATAAACCTTGTTCTACCTGGCTGATGAATGTAAACACCAAGAATTATCTAACAGTTTAGAGAATTGTGTTTTTCTGACACTCCAGGGTTATAAGAATAATTTTGCATGCATTCTTAAAACTATGAAAAAGATATTTGTGAAAATGAAATATTATAACTGAGAAATAACACTGAGAAATGATGCTAGATGAAAAAAAGTTGTCCAACCTTTTTTCAGGATTCTGAAGGAGTTGAAATCATGTTAGGAGTTTGTGCAAGCGGTCTCTTGATTTATCGAGACAGACTCAGAATAAACAGATTTGCTTGGCCTAAGGTTCTCAAAATTTCATATAAGAGGAATAATTTCTACATCAAAATTCGACCAGGGGAAGTAAGTAAAATTGAATGAAATTGTTTATCATATTTCATATATCTGCATATTGAATTTTACTTTAGAAATTAATGCATTGTAATGTATTTACTTATTAGGCAAATAATTTCGGCCTTGAAAATATTTTGAAACTTGGCTTTCTAGCTTCTCCCTTGTACTTGGTACTACTGCTGTAACTCCTTTCTGTTCTCTGCAAGGAGAAAAAGAAAGATTTGTAATATACATCCAGCACACTACACTTCATTTATTTGTTGTTGGTTTGTCTGGTATTATTTTAAATGTTGTAACCATTTTTCTTTATTGTAGTAGTGCAGAGGTTACAACCCATATTGCAGATACTAGCAATCAGTCCTTGTTTGCCCCAATGGGAATTACTACTCCATCACTCTATTGGTGTTGATATAATGGAAAGTACGGAGGACACTGGTGAGAATCATATTGTATAGTAGAAAACTAAACCTTTCTAGCTCCCTTGGGAGATACAGCTTATATTGGGATTTTATTTATTTAAATAATTTAAATGGCGGCCCATCTCACAACAGTAACTGGGCAATGTATAAAAATTAAAACCGACAGTTGCAAACCATGACCCAAGATGCCTGAGGTAAACAGTACATCCTAATCGTAAAACCACGTCAACAGTTGAGCTTGCCTGATCTCCTGGTCCAAACACCTGGGGAAACAGTGTAATAGTATGTTGGAATGACCTTGGGAGACAGGAGGAAGAGCCACAGACTGGACATGGTCAGGTAACAGGCAGCTTAGCTTGTAGAAGCAATGGAGCATGGCAGACGTCTCAGAAGGAACCCTCCCTAGTTCCTTGGACTGTAAAGGCAAGGGGGGGGGAGATGTACTTTCAGACTTGCAAGATTCTGTTAATCTAACCTTACAATAAAGTTAGATCTAGTATTGCTGGGTGTGCTTCTTGTCTGGACTACCTCGCAAGGCTGACAAACAGCAAGTCTTTAGAGCCTTATGAAAGGATAGCAGGGCCATGGCCATCTTGATCTCCAGGGTATGCTGCTCCACGAGGCAGGTGCTGCCACAAACAAAACTCCTGGGTTCAACAAGGCAACATTGTTTAATAGAGGGGACCTGAAACAATGAGAGAAGGGTGATCCCACAAGTAGCCTGGCCGTATGCTATGTAGGGCTTTGTAGGTGACAATCAGCACCTTGAATCACACCTGGAAACCTACTATTCAAGGGCAGCCCCATGTACAGTGCATTACAGTAATTAAATTGGGAAGTGACTAAAGCATGAGTCACTGTGAGCAAGGCTTCCCAGTCCAGAAACAGGGACAATTGTTGCACAAGCTGAACCTGTGCAAAGACACCCCCCCCCGCCCCCTTAGCCATAGCTGCCATCTGCTTTTTGAGCAGGAGCCATGAAACCAGGAGGACCTCCAAGTTGTGCACCAACTTTGACTGGGAAGTGCACTCCCAGACAGAGTTAAAGGTAGAAAACCTTCAGAACTGGGGGAGCACTTAAAACTCACAGCCACTTGGTCTTGTCAAGGTTGAACCAGAGCCTCTTCTCTCGCATCTAAACCCTCACAACCTCCACACACTGGTAAAGGACCTCTGCGGCATCACTTGGTGGGCCCAGGATGGAGATGTATCACTGAGTATCATCAGCATACTGATGATACCACACCCCATGCTGACAGATGAGCTCGACCAGCGGCTTCATATAGATATCAGATAGGAGTGGCGAGACAGTAGAGCCTTAGTGTCTGCTATTTTAAAAAATCCATACATATTGGAGGACTTCCAGTGGAGGAATGGCAAACTGAAGACAGCTCTGCAAAAGTGAAGCTGATGACTTCAGGAAAGACCAAGGAACTGATGAGTAGACTGGTTCCTTGGAACCTCTCTGGATAAGGAGAGGATGGGAGATCACCCACATGTGTTCCAGATGGCTGCTTCTCATGAGGAGACTGCAGGACAGCGGTTTTCCACGGGTTTGAGCACTGGGAGACAAAGGGATGCACCATCTTGCTTGAAACCGTGGTGAAGTCTTTTAAAGGATACTTAAGTTTGCAAGCCTCACTTAATAATCACTTTTGGAAATTTCCTATTAACCATTTTAAAGCTGTCAGTGACCTTCGGAATGACAGTTTGAAAAGAGAAAAATTAATTGTAAGCTTAAGGACTTAAAGAATCTGAAATAAATAGCAAGAAGCTAAATTAAATTTTGATCTTAGAAAGTTATAAACCGACTAAGGGTTCAGATAAATTTGGAATACTGAAACTTTTACAATAAGACTTTAGAATTAATTGTAAAGAACAAACAGCTTCTGGTGGGAAATAGATCTGTTGGTTTTTGGAAAACATAACAGCGATATGTAACCTCATGATTTAAAAACTAGACAATAGAGGGGACTAAAGATATTAGGTTAAGGGGAAAAAATGTGAGTATATAAATGCAAAACGTAACAAAATACCGAAGGAGACTTTTGAAGAATGAAATCAGAAATTAGTAGCCATAATATCAACACTGTCAGTAATGATGTCTGCTTCTGTGGATAGACTATGTCCAAAAGGTGTTATTGAAGAAATGACTGATGTGGAACAAATTTTATCTGACAAGATAGAGATGATACTGAAAGTAGATTTACAACTGACAGGCCAAGAGAATGACTTGGAAAATGATGTTTCATTGGATCTACAAAAGAAATGGTAGATGTTTTA